GCCCCGTCCCGGCAGAGACCCCGCGAGGTGACCCAGGTCCTGGGGACCCTCCCCGTGCGGGGCCAGGTGAGGGGGGCATGTCCTGAGGGTCCCGATTTAAGGCGCTAAAAAGTGCATAGGAGACCGCGCAGGAAACACCCGACACCTCCAGTGGTGTGGGCGGCTTTCCTAGCTTCCCTATACTTTCCCCCTTGGCTTCTCCCTGTTTTTAAACAACACACGTGACATGCTAGAAAATGACATTTAAATCGACAGCACAGACGCCCGGGAGGTGTGAGGGTGAGCGATGGGGTGGGCTCGCCTGGGCTGAGAGGAGCTGGCGGGAGCCTGGCATGACCTCCCTGCTGGGGGAGAAAGTCCCCCCCTCTTCCCCAGGCCCCTCTGCAGCCCCAGCTGGCCCCACACCCACCTGGAGGGCCTGGCCTGGGGGCTGGCGGCCTCTGCTTCTCCAGGGCCCCGGGATCCTGCTGAACTAGAACAGGTTGGGCCGATAGGACGGGACCTTGAGACAGAGGGGGGCGGCCCCTGGCACACGGGAGCGCCGGGGACCTGCCCAGCCGGCTCGCCCAGTCCTGCAGCCCCACCACCGACCGTTATTGTTGGCTGGGGGCTGCCATCGCCACCCAGCCGCAGCCGCCCACACAGCCCATCCATGTCTGACCGGGAAGCAGGTGGGGCTGAACCGCAGGACTCAGGGCTCTGGAACGTTAGCCAAACACCAGGCTGTCCCCCCACCCTCGACCCCTGGTCACCAGGGAGGACCGGCGGAGATCCCCCACTGCCCAGAGCAGAGCCGAGGGGACTTTCAGGAAACCATGTCTCTCCCGGAACGAGGTCCAGCCACTCCAGCTCAGACCTCACCCTATTCCAGGCCCCTCCTGTGTATTGGCAGGAGCCTGGGCCCCTGAGGATGAGGAGGGGTTCAGGGGTTCAGGGAAGCAGTAAGGCTTCGACGACAAGGCAGGCCCAGCCCCGCACACAAAGCCCTGCGGGGAGCAGGCCTGCTCCTGGGGAACCTCACCCTCCGCGCCCCCGCCCCATGTCACCGCAGAGTGGAGGTGCAGACACCACCTTTTGTAAACACGTCTTTGTTTTTTATTCAGCGAGGATCTTGGTCTCAAATATTTCCACTGGCCCTTGGGAAGCTGCGCCCACGGGTCAGCCAGCAGGCCTCAGGGCAAAGGGGGGGCAAATGTATGTGAGAAGTGGGCTGCAGCCCAGGGGGCCCACAGGTGCCTTTGGGGGCAGCCCCAGGCCGGAATGCTGGCCTCAGCAGAAGGGACCCTTGGAAGCCGGGATGGAAGCTGTACCGACATTGGTCAGCTAGAGGGGGTCACATACAAGGAGGACGCAGGGGCTGAGCTGTGGCCTTTATTACATCTGCTTCAGCGAAAATAAATAATTCTTCACACATTCTTCAGCATTCTTCAGTGAAAAATGCGGAGGGAGGAGCAGGTGCAAAGTTCTAGGGAGTAATACTGCCCGGACCACCGGGCCCCCTGCCCTGCCCTGCCCTAGGGCGGGCCTGGGAGTGGATGCTAAGGCACAGGTGAGGGGCCCTCTGTGGCTAGGGGAGGGGCGCTGCACACCCCGCCTCCTCAGTGCAGCAAGTGAGTGGTTTGTGGAGGAGTTGACAGCCAAGTCCCTTCTCCCAGCTGTGAGGCCCCATCTCCCCCCTCCCCCAGGCATGGAGGGAGGCGGGGAGGGGGTCTCAGATGACCCCAGGGCCCCGCCTCATGGGGCAGGGAAGCTGGAGGGCCTGGCCCTCAGCACTGGGACCCCGGGGGCTGGGAAGGCGGGAGCCAGGGCTCTCAGCAAGGGGGCGGGTGCTGCG